CCACCTCTTACAGTTGACCACACCCCCACTTCTTACAGTTGACCACACCCCCACTTCTTACAGTTGACCACACCCCCACCTCTTACAGTTGACCACACCCCCACCTCTTACAGTTGACCACACCCCCACCTCTTACAGTTGACCACACCCCCACCTCTTACAGTTGACCACACCCCTTATCCCTCTTGCTCACATCAGACCACGTTCACTCTCCCTCCTTGCTCACAGCAGGCCACGCCCACTCTCGCTTCTTGCTCACAGCAGAACACACCCACTCTCCGCCCTCTGTTCATAGCTGACCACATCCCTTCCACCTGCTCTCAGCTGACCACGCCCTCTCTCCACAATAATCCTAATAAATGTATTGTGTGTGTGTGTGTGTGTGTGTGTGTGTGTGTGTGTGTGCAGTTTAATGGTGTTAATCTCAGGAATGCCACGGAGCAGCTGGCGAGGCTCATCATTGGTCAGCAGTGTGACACCATCACCATACTGGCCCAGTACAACACACACATGCAGCAGCTGGGCAACCACTCGCGCTCCAGGTACACCCCACTCCTGAGCTCATAAAGTTTAAATTAAATTAGTACGTGATGCTAAGAGATGATGATATTGGAAGGTTTTGTTTCTCTATAGCAGTGCACTTTCACTGTTGAGTTATGATGTCACAATTCAGATGTCAGGCTTATCATCATCACTCTCTTATTAATGCTGAATATGTGTGTTTTCAGCTCGCGGATGGAGTCGTCTTTAAGCTCTCATTCTACACCCGGTACACCGGACACACACTCCAACATAGACACACTCAGTGAACAGGACGAGGGCACCATGACTCCGCCCTCCAAACAGGCCACACCCACATCCAGCCCTCACAGGTATATAAGCTCTGCACCTCTTCATGATCTTTATTCATACTGGCGCTTCAGAACTCACCTCCTGAATAACGTCATGGCAATATAAGGTACAGACTCAGAGAAGCAGAATGATGTGTGTGTTTGTTTATACTCTACCTGACAAAAAGTCTAGCTGCTGATCTGGTGTCAGAAGTGTCTCTATGAAAGGTGAAGGCCTCTAGATTTTGCTGATTTGAGCTCAATAAATCTGATCATGTCTTGATGTTGACTGATTTGATGAGGACAGTGCGCTCTGACTCTGCTCAGACTAAAGTGTCATCACTGAACAGAAATAATGTCCAGTATAGAATATAAAGTCCTGCTGCAGTGGAGACAGAATGAAGATTGTGTCTGACTCCATCATGAGCTTGGAGGACTGCATCCATACATCTCTGACATGACTCACATCACTGATTAATAAAGTCATCTGGAATGAAGAAGAAAGCTTCAGCAGGATCACAGAGTTCATCAAGAGTCTTTGTGTTCATCTTCAACACCTCCTCCTTCATCAGCTCAATAATGTTGATGTCTGGTGACTGGGCTGGCCAATCCTGGAGCAGCTTGACCTTCAGGAGCTTTGATGTGGAGGCTGAAGTATGAGCAGGAGCGCTATCCTGCTGGAGAATTGTCCCTCTCCTGTGGTTTGTAATGTAATGGGCAGCACAGATGTCTTGATAACTCAGGCTGTTGATGTTGCAGATCTCTCGCACGCCCCCATACTGAATGACCCCAAACCATGATGTCTCCTTCACCAAACTTGACTGATTTCTGCGAGAATCTTGGTCCATGCTGGTTCCATTAGGTCTTCTGCAGTATTGGTGATGATCGGGATGCAGAGCAGCAGATGATCCAGTAGAGAAACTAGAAGACCAGATACTATCTGCTGCTCTGACAGCCGAGATCCTTCACAAGACTTCTGTCTGGGAGTGTTTATTGTTATTGACATATTTTTATTTACAGTTGTAGATGCATAACTATCAATGAAATGTTTGAGAAATATGTCAACATGTGGAGTTTGATCATGTTGTAATGCTTATGTTGTTTTAAATGTAAGTGACATTTGTTTAAGCGCAACTAAAGAGTTCTGTTTGACTTCGATTAATTGAGTTGGATTCATTTCAGTTGTCCATGTGTTGATGTTTATGTGGAGAGTTTATTCAGTGTTAATTAAATTGTCTGAAAATGTCTTTAAATACAGTTTACATGATGTAATTATTTACTTTTCTGATGTCACACTGCTCAGAACTAAAGTGAGAGTAAACGTAGCCTCGCTGGGGTCAGAGGTGCCCTGTTTGCTGATTGGTCTGACTGCAGCAGCATGTGCTCTGTGATTGGTCAGGGAGCGGGCGGAGCCGAGGCAGGTGTTGCTGAGGAAGACTCCGGTGGATCTGGGCATGAGGATCTGCGGAGGAAACTTGACCGGTGTGTTTGTGGAGGATCTGGAGGACGGAGGAGCCCACGGCCTGCAGCCTGGAGACCTGATCCTGGAGGTACAGCAGCGGATGCACATCTTGCGGCTGTGATCGGTGGACGGAGCTGTGATGATGTCATTTCCTGTGTGCAGTGTAACTCGGTGAGCATGAAGAGTAAGACGGCGGAGGAGGTTTATCTGGAGCTGCTAAAGCCTGCAGAGAACATCGTGCTGAGGGTGCAGAACCGACCGCAGCACTTCAGGAGAGCTAAAGACACGCCTGGAGACGGATTCTACATCAGGTGTGTGTGTGTGTGTGTGTGTGTGTCTAATACGGAAGTAGTTGAAGTAGCAATTCATGGAAATTCCGCTAGTCCTAGCTCCATATTAGAGCAGATTACTATTGATTTCACTGTTAAAATGGCCGAATTTACAGCAGAAAAAAGGTGTTTACGGCCCGGCACAATGAATGATTTTGGTTCATGTAGCAATTATTACCCTTCATGTCAACCGTGAGGGGGTGAACTTTTTATAACTCATCCTTTTCTTTTTATATTAAGATATATTAAATTTGCATAATTAAGGGCGTGGCCACTTGAGTGACAGCTAGGTCTCGTCACCTCAGCTGATTCCGGCTGATTAGCCACTGAACTCGGCATATTTATCGTATTTTTGTGTTGTTTGTGGCTTTACACAGTCGGTTGCCTTTTGGACTTGTTTCCTACAATTATCAGCTGATAGGGCATGCTGTGTGCACTTAATTGTGCTCACAAACCATTCACTCGGCCTCCGTTTCCCATGTGAGTAAAGTTATATACTTATATACCATCCCAATACATGTGTTTGTTTTATTTAATATCATTTATAATGTTCTTTAGAGCCGTAAAACACTCCAGAATCTGCCAGATTGATGAGCTGTAGGCTCTAGATCAGTCATCTGATGTGTTCTCATACAGTGTTCTGCTGGAGTTCATCAATAGTCTTGCATTTACTAACACACACTATATCTGAAGTGTTTTAAGTCATTTGCGTTTTCCTCCTCTAGAAAACATCATAAGAACAATGTTTAGTGGCTCAATGTGTTACAGCAGTGTTTTAAAAGAATAAACACTTTATTGATATAGTGTACAGCCGAGCACATGTGGTCAGAACACAAGCGAGTCGCAGGTAATGAAGTATTCTTCCTAAGAAAAAGCCTGTCTGGGCAAAATGCTAGCAGGCATCTGTAGCTCCGCCTCTTTGCCCTTATTTGGTATCCCCCAGTTGGAGCAATGACATGCGAATAAAATGGTGTCGGTTAACCACGCCCATTTGAAGCTTCATTTGTGCTCTTCAGAAACCTGTGGGTAATGTCATGAACACTGCGTCCATATCTTTGACAGATATGATGTGTGCATAATATTGGACTAGGTATTTTTCAAGATCCTGGTATTCAGCTTAAAGTGCAATTTCAAGGCTTAATTAGGCAAGTCAGGTTTGTTCTGTAGCCAATCTTAAGAAATCATTCGTTAAGGAGCTATAATATTGATTTAAATGATGTAAAACTGCTTTTATTCAAGACAAACTAAAAGAATTACAACTTTTTTTCGTTAAAAGATTAAATATTATAGCAAATACTGTGAAAAATGGAAATATTTGAAAAATAATTACTATTTCAGTCTTATAGAGAGCTTATAATTTAGCCTTAAACTGTTTTATTATATTTTACCTTTCTGTTTTGTGGATCTCAGGCTGTGTTGTGTGTAGTTTAAAATCTAAAATGTTCAATAAAAGAAGATGACCGTGGAGTTTGCATGTTCTCCCCGTGTTGGCGTGTGTTTCCTCCGGGTGCTCCGGTTTCCCCCACAGTCCAAACACATGCACTATAGGGGAACTGATCAACTACACTGGCTGTAGTGTATGAGTGTGTTTGTGAATGTGTGTATGGATGTTTCCCAGTACTGGGTTGCAGCTGGAAGGGCATCCGCTGTGTAAAACACATGCTGGAATAGTTGGCGGTTCATTCCACTGTGGTACTGAGCTGAAAAGAAACTGAATGACAATGCTATATAGCTGATGTCTGCTCTGCTGTTTTTCAGGGCGCTGTTTGACCATGTTGGAGATTCAGAGCAGGAATTGAGTTTCAAGAAGGATGATATCCTCTATGTGGACGACACGCTGCCCAGAGGGAATTTCGGCTACTGGTTGGCATGGCAACTGGACGAAAACGCACAGAAGCTGATGCGTGGACACGTGCCCAGCAAGTGCATGTATGTGAGACTCATGGCATCAATCCTGCTTCTGTTTCACTATTAAACATTAAAATCACCTTTATAAGGGGTTATAGGCCCAGTAGTGTGTCAGCAGTGTGTGTGTCTCCAGCAGCCTCTGATGCTCAACAGTAGTGAACTGTGTTTGTTGTATCAGACTTGATGCAGAATCACTGTGATTGGCATTCTCTCTTGGTACGTGTCATCAGAGGGGGAAAGCCCCGCCCACTCGTCTCCATCTCATTAGCATGTCCAGCAGGCCTGAGTGAGAAGCAGCCGTCTGTCCATTAGCCATTAGAGTGTTTGAGCTGCTGAAGATGATGTCAGCATAGACTAAGAGCATTATAGATGTGGAGTTCTAGATGAAGCACAAATGAAGGGGTCTCCGTAGACTGACAGAAGCATCAAGCACACACTCACACTGAAGCACACACGCACACCTGACCAGCACTGACAACACAAAGCTGTCTGTAGCTCCGCCCCCTCTTCTGAAAAGAGCACAATCTCATTTGCATTTAAAGCAACAGTCACCAAAACTCCACAATTAGGCTCCTCCATACCACCTCTTCTCCAGCGTGCAGTGGTGTAAAGTGTGTTAGTATCTGCTATCTGTGTGTGTTTATAGGATGGATCAGGATTCCCAGCGGCGCTACAGTGTGACGGACGGTAAAGACGAGAGCGGCTCTGGGAAGACACTGTCAGCCGCGGCGCGTCGATCTTTCTTCCGGCGGAAACTCAAACACAAACGCAGCACCTCTAAAGACGGACGCGACGCTCCTGCAGCCGACGCCATCAGCACTGACTCCATGCCCTACCTGGAGGGTGAGAAGATGCTGACACACACACACACACACACATATATATATATACACACATAAAGACAAACATGTGCATATGCACACACATATAGACACACAATCACAGATGCTCGCATATGTGCACATACAGACATGCAGATACAGACGAACACACACACTCTTATATACCCATAAAGAAACACACATATACGTACACACATATGGACACACACAAACACAGATGGACTCACACATATACACATACAGACATGCATACAGATGCGCACACACTTATATAGACACGCGCACACTTGTATACCTATAAAGACATACACATACAGACATGCATATATATATATATACACACACACACAAGAACACACAGACACACACATTTATACAGACACGCATTTCCACACGTATACATATACAAACACACAAATACCCATAGAGACACATACATACACACACATACAGACATATATACACACAAACATATATACACATACATATAAACACATATATACAAATATATAAACACATATATACAAAAATATAAACACATATATACACACACACACATACAGATGCGCACACACACACACACACACACACACATTAAAACACACAAATACATAGACATACAGACACACACACACTTTTATGCCCATAAAGACACAAGTACAGACATGCACATATACACACACACACACACACACACACACACACATACAGATGCACACACAGGAAAACATACTTGTCCACAAACACATACAGACACTCATACCCACACATATGCACACACACACACACACATATATACCCATAAACACACATACATTCACACACATACAGACATATGTACACAGACACACATGTATATACATACATACAGATGTCCACACACATTAATTCGTTTGGAGTATTCATGTGTGTATGTGTGTAGTGTGTGCCCGTGTCTGTGTGTGTATGTATATACATGCACACTGCACATGTATAGACACACACAATATTTAATTTAATAACTAAATGTTTCTACTAACGATTATTTCATTTGTCTGACAATTCCACATACGTGTTTATCTGTGTGTGTTAACAGACTGTGTGAGTCCGGCCTATCAGCGTGTTCTGAAGGTGGAATCGACCAATCGCAGGCCAGTGTTGATTCTGGGACCTCTAGTGGAGCCAATCAAAGACATGCTGCTCAGAGAGGCTCCTGGGAAATACTGCCGCTGTTTACCTGGTGAGGAGATCTGCTCACATTTCAGCTTTCCCCACTCATGATTGTGTTTGCATGATTGTGTAGCTCTTACAGCTGAAGTTGAGCTAAGCTTATGATAGTCCTGCACATCGTAAACCTCCATCTGAGGGCTTGAGGGCGCTCTTATGCAGAAACTAAAATAAACTTGACATTGTACACTCACCGGCCACTTTATTAGGTACACCTTACTAGTACCGGGTTGGACCCCTTTTGCCTTCAGATCTGCCTTAAACCCTGGTGTTGTAGATTCAGCAAGCTGCTGGAAATATTCCTCAGAGATTTTGCTCCATATTGTCATGATAGCATCACACAGTTGCTGCAGATTTGTCGGCTGCACATCCATGATGCCAATCTCCCGTTCCACCACATCCCAAAGCTGCTCTATTGGATTGAGCTCTGGTGACTGTGGAGGCCATTTGAGTACAGTGAACTCATCGTCATGTTCAAGACACCAGTCTGAGATGATTGAGCTTTATGACATGCTGCGTTATCCTGCTGGAAGTAGCCATCAGAAGATGGAGACACTGTGCTCATAAAGGGATGGACATGGTCAGCAGCAATACTCAGGTAGGCTGTGGCGTTGATGCTCAATTGGTACTAATGGACCCAAAGAAAATCTCCCCCACACCATTACACCACCACCACCAGCCTGAACCGCTGATACAAGGCAGGATGATCCATGCTTTCATGTTGTTGAGGCCAAATTGTGAGCCGAGCATCCGAATGTGTCAGCAGAAATGGAGACTCACCAGAGCAGCAACGTTTCTCCAATCTTCTATTGTCCAGTTTTGGTGAGTCTGTGTGAATTGTAGCCTCAGTTTCCTGTTCTTAGCTGACAGGAGCGGCACCCGGTGTGCTCTTCTGCTGCTGTAGCCCATCCGCCTCAAGGTTGGCCGTGTTGTGTGTTCAGAGATGCTCTTCTGCAGAGCTCGGTTGTAACGAGTGCTTATTTGAGTTACTGTTGCCTTTCTATCAGCTGGAACCAGTCTGGCCATTCTCCTCTGACCTCTGGCCTCATCAACAAGGCATTTGCGCCCACAGAACTGCCGCTCACTGGATATTTCCTCTTTGTCGGAGCATTCTCTGTAAAGCCTAGAGATGGTTGTGCGTGAAAATACCAGTAGATCAGCAGTTTCTGAAATACTCAGAGCAGCCCGTCTGGCAGCAACAACCATGCCACGATCAAAGTCTCTTAAATCCCCTTTCTTCCCCATTCTGATGCTCACTCTGAACTGCAGCAGATCCTCTTGACCATGTCTACATGCCGAAATGCAGTGAGCTGCTGCCATGTGATTGGCTAATTAGACATTTGCATTAACAAGGAATTAAACAGGTGTACCTAATAAAGTGGCCGGTGAGTGTATGATTTGTGAGTATTTATTGCAGTGTACTAGCATTTTAGTGGAACTGATTTTACTTTTTTAATAAAAGTCAAATGTGCATTTTAAATTAAAAAGTTTACATTTTTATTAATTTTATATTTTATAAATGGATGTTTCATAAAAAAAGATTTTTTAAATTTGCATGAAATTCTGCTGTAACGTTTTAGCGCAAGTGTTTTTGACTGAAAACTTTGTGTGTGTGTGTGTGTGTGTGTGTGTGTGTGTGTGTGTGTGTGTGTGTGTGTGTTCAGAGGGCATGAAGGCGCAGCAGCAGGCCATCGAGCGCGGTGTTAAAGACTGTTTGTTCATCGATTATAAGCGGCGGAGCGGACACTTCGACGTCACCACTGTGGCCTCCATTAAGGAGATTACAGAGAAGGTCAGAAAACCCAGAGATGGAAATAAATGCTGGTTAATTGTCCTGAAATTTGCATAATATTCAGACATTATTCTTGCTCTTGTGAAGTGTTCGTTTTTTTCAGATTTGCCCCAAATTTCAGATTGCCCCTTATTTCAAAATAAGAATTAAAGGATTAAGAACATAATGGAAGAGAAAATAAGTTCCTGCAAACTCTCAGAGATTTAATTCGAATAGTTCAAACCTTTGTTGACTCAATTTAAACAGTTCAAACTCTTAGTGACTCTGTTTGAACATTTCAGACTCTTAGTGACACAGTTCAGACTCTTAGTGACTCAGTTCAAACACTTCAATCTCTTAGTAAAGGGTGTCCACAGGGTCTTTAAAAGTATTAAAAGTTTAAAAATCCATGTAGAGAAATTTAAGACCCTCAAAGTATTAACAAGTCTTAAATGCTTTTTTTAAGGTATTACATTTTGGATCAGTTTGATGCAGATTAAATTTAGGCAATCTTTAACTATTATGATGCAGTGTAGTTTATGAAATTGATAAAATCCTTCTAGATTTGACATACATCGGTTTAATGCAGTAACCAAGGCAACACTGTTGTATACGTCCTGCTGTTGTTTGCGCCACTTGCTGGATTAGCATTTTTATTGAGTATATGAATAATGTTTTAGTTTCTTACAGTCACTATTTAGTAAAAATTTTAAGTTAAATTGTCGCCAATGTTAACAATTAATCCTAAAGTGGCAATGAGGTCTTAAAATGTATGGAAAAGGTCTTAAAAAGTTCTTAAATAGTATTTAATTTTAATTTTTGATTCCTGTATTCTTTGACACCCTGTAGTGACTCAATTCAAACAGTTTAAATTTTTTGTGACTCATATCAAACTCTTAGTGGCTCAGTTTGAACAGTTCAAACCCCTTGATGATTTGATTCAAATAGTTCAAACCCTTAAAGACTTGGTTCAAATAGTTTAAACTCTTAGTGACTCAATTTGAACAATTCAAATTGTTAGTGACTCGATTCAAACAGTTCAAACTGTAAGTGACTCAGTTTAGAGAGTTTGAATGCTGTAAGGCTCAGCGATTTGATTGTAACAATAAAGGTGAATTTAACACTGCCTCTGTCTGTCAGGATTGTCACTGTCTGCTGGACATCGCTCCTCACGCTATCGAGCGCCTGCACGCCGTCAGCATTTACCCCATCGTCATCTTCATACGATACAGAAACGCCAAGCAGATCAAGTGAGAGACTCATGCATTCATTCATGTGTCTGCATGCACTGATGCCCATTTACACTCATCTATGCTTGTTTTACATCAGGATTCAGTTAATAAACTACAACTATTGGTTAACTTAAAAGCTTTCACAATAAATAAAAAACTAACAACTGACACTGAAAAAAGAAGGAGAATAAGAATGTGCTGTGTGTGTGTGTGCTGTGTGTGTGTGTGTGTGTTTTCTTCATGCAGAGAGCAGAAAGACCCTGTTTATCTGAGAGACAAAGTGTCACAAAAACATTCCAAAGAGCAGTTTGAGTCGGCGCAGAGGATTGAACAAGACTACAGCAAATACTTCACAGGTCTGATTTACATGCACGTGTCTGATTTCATCTATATCTGTTTATCTGTGCATATGCACGTGTCTGATTTCATCCATATCTGTTTATCTGTGCATATGCACGTGTCTGATTTCATCCATATCTGATTATCTGTGCAATATGCACGTGTCTGATTTCATCCATATCTGATTATCTGTGCATATGCACGTGTCTGATTTCATATATATCTGATTATCTGTGCATATGCACGTGTCTGATTTCATCTATATCTGTGCATATGCACGTGTCTGATTTCATCCATATCTGATTATCTGTGCATATGCACGTGTCTGATTTCATATATATCTGATTATCTGTGCATATGCACGTGTCTGATTCATCCATATCTGATTATCTGTGCATATGCACGTGTCTGATTTCATCCACATCTGATTGTCTGTGCATATGCACGTGTCTGATTTCATCCATATCTGATTATCTGTGCATATGCACGTGTCTGATTCATCCATATCTGATTATCTGTGCATATGCACGTGTCTGATTCATCCATATCTGATTATCTGTGCATATGCACATGTCTGATTTCATCCATATCTGATTATCTGTGCATATGCACGTTACTGATTTCATCCATATCTGTTTGTTTGTGTGAATCTGCAAATGTTTTAGCGGATGTTGTTTGTGTTTTTCAGGTGTGGTTCAGGCCGGCGCTCTCTCCAACACATGCACACAGATCATGGCCATCGTGGACCAGGAGCAAAACAAAGTGCTCTGGATTCCTGATGGAAGCACGTGAAAAAAGTCCTGATAAACACAATAATAATGACAACACTAGCAAAAACTCACACTGCTGCGACTCTCACTGCTGTAAACATCACTACTACACTCATAGGGCTGGGCTTTATATCATGGAGACTCATGTTTAACACGTCTGCTTATGTATGAACATATTTATCATGTAGTCAACTGTAGATTGGATTCTGTAAAGTCACCGTTTACAAATGTAAGATTAAATTCAAACTCCTAGTGACTCAAGTGGAACAGTTTAAACTCTTAGGGCTCACTCACATCCCCTCTCCCCCTCGGCCTGCACTCACACTGCATTTTTTATCCAGCGGACCTGAGCACACTTACATCATCAGGGATGTGACTGTAAACAGAAAGAGAAGTGCTCTCGCTCAGCACAGTGAGGATTGCTTTAGCTATATCGTTCTGAATGGTTTGGGATGCAGTGACACACAGTCAAATATGTTGCCGAACAGATCCAGCACTTTTGACGCTCTTAAATAATCTTAAAAGTCCTGGTGCTTCACGTATTAGGAGGTTTGCTGAAGGTGCAGTGAGGGGTTTGTGTCTTTAATTAACTATGACACTTCGCTTTGATTGAAAATTAAGAATGATTATCAAATCTATACCAAACAGTCCCTTAAAAGTCACGTCTCGTCTTCAGTTTCGGGCTCAGGCGCTCTTTGCACTCACACTACAAGCTCGCCAAGTAAACCGCACTCTGGCACACCTCTTGCAACTGAGCCAGGGGTGGCCAATTGAACTGCGCCTGAGCCCCATTCAGAGCACTCGCACTTCTCAAACAATCCTGGAAACGAGCCTGGGCACGGTTCAGATAGCATAGTGTGATTATCCCCTTAATGACTCAATTTAAACTGTTCAGACTCTTAGTGACTCAGTTTGAACAGTTCAAACTCTTTGTAAATCAGTTGAAGCTCTTTGTTACTAAGTTGGAACTCTAATTGACTCTGTTTGAACAGTTCAATCTCTTAGTGAATCAGTTCAAACTCTTAGTGACTCAGTTTGAACAGTTCAAACTCTTTGTGAATCAGTTCAAACTCTTAGTGACTCAGTTCAAACTCTTAGTGACTCAGATCAAACTCTTTCTGAATCAGTTCAAAGTCTTAGTGACTCAGTTCAAACTCTTAGTGACTCAGTTCAAATTCTTAGCGAATCAGTTCAAACTCTTTGTGACTCAGTTCAAACTCTTAGTGACTCAGTTCAAACTCTTAGTGACTCAGTTGGAACAGTTCAATCTCTTAATGGCTGTTTCTCAATATGCGTTCTTCAGCGGCCTTGCGTCCTCGTGTAACGTCATCATCAGCTGCCAAAGTTCAGTTTCAATACTTTAGACCGCAAGAACAGAGGACGCGTGAAACTTCCCGGATATGTTCTTGATATCGAGGGCACACCGATGCAGACTTGGCGCGATCTCTCTCTAGAAGTCCCAGAAGTGATTGCGACTGGAGGTGGGAAGCGCAGTATTTTATTTAGATTTATTATAAGAGTTCAGAGATTTCACTTATTTACCTCAGGAGTTTCCCTGAGTGAAACGGTGAATATAAACATTAGCATGGACATCTTAGTAAAAGAATAAACACATTACTGGTGTTTGTTTGCTGAAATTCATAATAAAATCAGTTTTATTTGTACTGTGCAGAGCAGATTTATAATGTTTTTATGCACAGTATATATTTTGAAAAGGGGAAAAACAATACATCGTTATATGAGTGCTGTAATGTTTAAATAATTTTCCATTTAAAACCCGTAAAGGTTAATTGACCATCAGGTAGAACGCAGCATCTCATTCCTCAGAGGACGCATTCTCTGTTCTCATGGTCTTCTGAGTTCGTTTTTCCGAGGACACCTGGCAAGACCGCTCTCCAGAAGAACGCAGGTCTGTTCTCTGTTTTCTTGGAATTGAGAAACAGCCAGTGACTCAGTTTGAACAGTTCAAACTCTTAATGACTCAGTTCAAACTCTTGGTGACTCAATTTGAAATGTTCAAACTTTTAGTGACTCATTTTGAACAGTTCAAACTCTTAGTGACTCAAGTTGAAGAGTTCAAACTCTGTGACTCAATTCGAACAGTTCAAACTCTTAGTGACTCAGTATGAACAGTTCAAACTCTTAGTGACTCAAGTTGAAGAGTTCAAACTCTGTGACTCAATTTGAAGAGTTCAAACTCTTAGTGACTCAGTATGAACAGTTCAAAATCTTAGTGACTCAATTTGAAGAGTTCAAACTCTTAGTGACTCAATTCAGTTCAGATGCCCAGTGACTCTTTTCAGACAGTTCAAACCCTCAGTAATATCCAGATTGATTGCAGTCATTTGATTCAGAGCTCCAGATCGGTTCACCTCGTCCCTCTCATGTTTATTTATATACTGTATGCTCCAGAATGTGCTGCAGTTCTACAGAGGGACTTCATCTATCTTTTGTATCTGTAGATTAGTAGATTTCTAATGAATGCCACTATCATTGCTGTTTACGTTATATTGTTCATTCCTTTCCCAGTGTTGAATATAACTCTACACAACGGATTTATTGTAGACTGAGAGGAACTCAAATACTTTATTAATTTAGTGCTTATTTAGGACTGGTAGCCAATTCCACATTTGCAGCAATGACCTTTTATTTGATTTCTCTGTCAACAATAAATATATTTATGTGAATATCTGTTTATGTAAACACTGATGTTTGTCCTTTGTTTACTTCGCATCTGTTAATGCTGGATTGTGATTGGCTGATGGTCTCTCTAATGTTCCTCAGATACAGACACGGCTGCTCCTGACAAGTTTACCCCAGTTTTCTCTTTCTGATTCTGATAAGCAGAATGATGCACTCTGCCTCACTGTATTATTAGATGATCGCGCACTGCAGATGTGTGACAACACCATTACAATCGTCAAATAATTCAACATCTCATTGTTAATTATTGATACGATATTAAAAGCCAGCTGTCATGTTAAAGAGTGTGTGATATAAGCAGAATAATGCACTCCTGGCCATTGAATTATTAAATATTGAGTGAGCTCAACATTATCTGGAGGAAACCCTATTAGGTGTGTGTTTCCTCCGGGTGCTCCGGTTTCCCCCACAGTCCAAACACATGCACTATAGGGGAACTGATCAACTACACTGGCTGTAGTGTATGAGTGTGTTTGTGAATGTGTGTATGGATGTTTCCCAGTACTGGGTTGCAGCTGGAAGGGCATCCGCTGTGTAAAACACATGCTGGAATAGTTGGCGGTTCATTCCACTGTGGTACTGAGCTGAAAAGAAACTGAATGACAATGCTATATAGCTGATGTCTGCTCTGCTGTTTTTCAGGGCGCTGTTTGACCATGTTGGAGATTCAGAGCAGGAATTGAGTTTCAAGAAGGATGATATCCTCTATGTGGACGACACGCTGCCCAGAGGGAATTTCGGCTACTGGTTGGCATGGCAACTGGACGAAAACGCACAGAAGCTGATGCGTGGACACGTGCCCAGCAAGTGCATGTATGTGAGACTCATGGCATCAATCCTGCTTCTGTTTCACTATTAAACATTAAAATCACCTTTATAAGGGGTTATAGGCCCAGTAGTGTGTCAGCAGTGTGTGTGTCTCCAGCAGCCTCTGATGCTCAACAGTAGTGAACTGTGTTTGTTGTATCAGACTTGATGCAGAATCACTGTGATTGGCATTCTCTCTTGGTACGTGTCATCAGAGGGGGAAAGCCCCGCCCACTCGTCTCCATCTCATTAGCATGTCCAGCAGGCCTGAGTGAGAAGCAGCCGTCTGTCCATTAGCCATTAGAGTGTTTGAGCTGCTGAAGATGATGTCAGCATAGACTAAGAGCATTATAGATGTGGAGTTCTAGATGAAGCACAAATGAAGGGGTCTCCGTAGACTGACAGAAGCATCAAGCACACACTCACACTGAAGCACACACGCACACCTGACCAGCACTGACAACACAAAGCTGTCTGTAGCTCCGCCCCCTCTTCTGAAAAGAGCACAATCTCATTTGCATTTAAAGCAACAGTCACCAAAACTCCACAATTAGGCTCCTCCATACCACCTCTTCTCCAGCGTGCAGTGGTGTAAAGTGTGTTAGTATCTGCTATCTGTGTGTGTTTATAGGATGGATCAGGATTCCCAGCGGCGCTACAGTGTGACGGACGGTAAAGACGAGAGCGGCTCTGGGAAGACACTGTCAGCCGCGGCGCGTCGATCTTTCTTCCGGCGGAAACTCAAACACAAACGCAGCACCTCTAAAGACGGACGCGACGCTCCTGCAGCCGACGCCATCAGCACTGACTCCATGCCCTACCTGGAGGGTGAGAAGATGCTGACACACACACACACACACACATATATATATATACACACATAAAGACAAACATGTGCATATGCACACACATATAGACACACAATCACAGATGCTCGCATATGTGCACATACAGACATGCAGATACAGACGAACACACACACTCTTATATACCCATAAAGAAACACACATATACGTACACACATATGGACACACACAAACACAGATGGACTCACACATATACACATACAGACATGCATACAGATGCGCACACACTTATATAGACACGCGCACACTTGTATACCTATAAAGACATACACATACAGACATGCATATATATATATATACACACACACACAAGAACACACAGACACACACATTTATACAGACACGCATTTCCACACGTATACATATACAAACACACAAATACCCATAGAGACACATACATACACACACATACAGACATATATACACACAAACATATATACACATACATATAAACACATATATACAAATATATAAACACATATATACAAAAATATAAACACATATATACACACACACACATACAGATGCGCACACACACACACACACACACACACATTAAAACACACAAATACATAGACATACAGACACACACACACTTTTATGCCCATAAAGACACAAGTACAGACATGCACATATACACACACACACACACACACACACACACACATACAGATGCACACACAGGAAAACATACTTGTCCACAAACACATACAGACACTCATACCCACACATATGCACACACACACACACACATATATACCCATAAACACACATACATTCACACACATACAGACATATGTACACAGACACACATGTATATACATACATACAGATGTCCACACACATTAATTCGTTTGGAGTATTCATGTGTGTATGTGTGTAGTGTGTGCCCGTGTCTGTGTGTGTATGTATATACATGCACACTGCACATGTATAGACACACACAATATTTAATTTAATAACTAAATGTTTCTACTAACGATTATTTCATTTGTCTGACAATTCCACATACGTGTTTATCTGTGTGTGTTAACAGACTGTGTGAGTCCGGCCTATCAGCGTGTTCTGAAGGTGGAATCGACCAATCGCAGGCCAGTGTTGATTCTGGGACCTCTAGTGGAGCCAATCAAAGACATGCTGCTCAGAGAGGCTCCTGGGAAATACTGCCGCTGTTTACCTGGTGAGGAGATCTGCTCACATTTCAGCTTTCCCCACTCATGATTGTGTTTGCATGATTGTGTAGCTCTTACAGCTGAAGTTGAGCTAAGCTTATGATAGTCCTGCACATCGTAAACCTCCATCTGAGGGCTTGAGGGCGCTCTTATGCAGAAACTAAAATAAACTTGACATTGTACACTCACCGGCCACTTTATTAGGTACACCTTACTAGTACCGGGTTGGACCCCTTTTGCCTTCAGATCTGCCTTAAACCCTGGTGTTGTAGATTCAGCAAGCTGCTGGAAATATTCCTCAGAGATTTTGCTCCATATTGTCATGATAGCATCACACAGTTGCTGCAGATTTGTCGGCTG